GATTTTTCCCCGGTTCCATGTTCTGGTCCCCGTACGGAAAATGGGAATGGGGAGCAACGGGCGCTTCAAATGCGCGAACACCGGGCTTGGCGCCCTCTGTTTGTTGGACCCCCAGCTTTTCGCAGCAACGTGCAACCGCTGAACCCCTGCAAACACACGAGTTCCACTCCTCCCTGCCTCCAGTTTGCTCCCTTCCCCAGTGAACTTGGTCGGCGAAAGGTCCGGTTCTGACCGAAAAATCCTTCAAAGTTCAAAGCTCAGAAGGCCGGGGGAAGCGGGGGAAGCGGTGAGAAGCGGGTCTCGTGGGTCTTGCCCGAAAGTTCCAAAAACCCCGCCGGGTTTCGGGATTTTTTTTTCGCTCAAAGCGTTTTGAGTCGGCCCGGGGCACAGAAGCTTCCGGCCCTTGGACGTGAACTTGGCCTTCACGAGGAAGGGCTGGCGACTGGCCTCCCGGAAAGGAAAAAAAAACGCTCGAAGAAAAACCACCCGAAAAGATCCACCCGAAGATGGGTTGCTTTTGGTTTGGTGAACAACTTCATGTTTTTTACTGACCAAATTGTAGCTTTTGCGCAGACCTGCGTGCTTTTCCGCGGTTTTTTGCTCTGGGTGGGTCAAGCCCAACCCCCGGCGAACAAGATTTGACGCAGGTTGGGCCTTGAAACACCCTGCTTGGCTGGGTGGACATGACCCCCCTGTTGGGGGGGTTCATGTTTGAAGCCTGGCAACATTGACTGACAAAACAAACTCCTCAAACCAGGTTCCAAGGCCGTCCTCTCCTCTCACGAGTGCTTGCGAGGGATCCGTGGGGCTCACTTCCGATCCAGTGGATTGGCCAACAACAGTCCTGGAACTGTTCATTTACGATGCCCAGTGGGGCCATTGGAAAAAAACCGGGCATCCGACTTTTTCTTTCCCTGGTCGAATTTTTGAGGGACCCCTTCCCCCCAAAAAAAACGGAAAAAAAACCCGGGCGCCCAGCGGCGCCAGCCAGGTCCGAAAAACGACACTCGGGGCGAGGTGCGGATCCCAAGCACCGACGGCAACGCGACAGAGGGCAACCACTGGGCAACTTGGCGGTCTCTTCACGCGACATGAGTTGACCGTCCGAAGCTTCTGGCCAACCCCCTTCGACGAACCCAACCATTGGTCTACAACTTGATTTAGTATGCCTGGCACACGAAAACAATCTGCCGCTCACAACCGCCCTTGGCTCAAATCTCCGGGCAACTCATAATACTTCACCAAGCGAACAGGGAAGCTTTTTCATGGTTTGCCCAAGGTCGTATCCGAATCCCTTAGGTCGCGACGGCTTTCCCGCCTTCACGTGGCTCTCCTCGTCACCTCGTTTGGGATGGAAATTCAAAGGCTGCCGCTCAAGAGAAGACCAGTCCATCCCCAAAACGACCACAACGGGATATGGGGTAAGGAAAGGAGCCAAAGATTGTGTGAGGTCGCGCGGCTAACTTGAAGGCCGCGGCTCGTCCGGCCGTTTGGACGGCACATGTGGACCTTCTTTTGTGTTCTTTCAACAGCAGCCTGGCCCCGACTCTCTCGCAAAACGAGAGAGCGCGTTGATGAGCGACTCACTGCAGAATGCTTTCGAAAGCAACAGCAAAAGGCATACCATTATGCTTCGGCAAGCAAAGAAGTAAAGAAGTGGGGACTGGGATGGACAGGGTGCCGGAATGGAGAGCGCTTCCATTTATTCTTGGGATCTCATCCCGAAGATTCCCGCCTTCCCATCCCTGCTTCTTTGCTCTATGATCATTTGGAACCGGCACCTGCTGAAGCCTCCAACTTCTGTTCTTGATTTCCTCTAGAACTTGGCAGATGTTGAGTTTCCACATCAAGCACGGCTTAATTAGGCCCGTACTGGACATGCGCTTCTGCCCGTGGTTTTGCGGGTACATCCGCGGCTCGTTTGACCTACCAGTCCGCTGGAAGTTTGGTCACGAAAAGGATCAATGGACCCAATACTCAACACATCCCCAATTGGTGACTGGGATTGGTCGTTTGGTGAGTGTCCCATGTACCCCAGGGTTCAAATCCCCCCACAACTCCCAACCAAGCCAGCAACCAAGGGTTACTTCAATTGGTCTGTGCTCAGATCCGCGAAAAGTTCAACTTTTCGTGGGTTGAATGGAAACCCCCACTAAGGAACCGCACGGTTCTGGAACCGCCCAGCGAAAATTCCGGATTTTGCTACCGTTGGGGGTTGGCCCTTAGCTTCCTTCGCAATCCCGGCTGGGACCCTGGCTTTCATCGCTGTCGCATTTGGCTGACCTCAGGGCAGATCCGATCCACAAAAATGGAAGCTCCCGCGCCCCTGACATGCCAAGGGTTCCTACATTACGGGGAATCTTTTTAAGCACCTGAGCTCTGGAGGTTTCATTTTCTTTGGGGGGGGGAAAGGGTGATTTATCGAATTGGCCACACACATCTCATCTTTCGGAGCCCTCTAGGCGGTCCCCTCAATTTCAAATTCAAACCCCTGAAAGGA